GGGTGCGTTCCGTTTCACGCATTGAGCGCATAGATCGCTTGGAAATCTATAATATATGTTACGTGAACTATAGATTTCCAGGCGATCTATGCGCTCAATGCGTGAAACGGAACGCACCCTATGTCTATGAGTGCAGGTCATGGATACCGCTTAATAAACTTTTTAACAGTTTTTTAACTTTTAACTTTCTTTTTTAACTTTGTAACAGCTGTACACAAAAAGGAAGGTCCAACTATGGTAACATTCTCTATATTTGCAAATATTTTATTTATAAGACCCACAAAAAATGATTAAAAAATTATAAATATTAAAAAATAATCCAAAATTTCGCGAATCATGACAAGTTGATTGTATTATCGCAATTAAAACGTATGTTAGGAACTTTTATTGAATGAATAAAGAATGATTGTCTTATTAAACATAAAATTTTGTAATATTTTGGTCTATTTTATGATCTGTTTCATCGTTTAATCCTGATTTTTTAAATTAATAACAGCAAAAATGTTACGTAAACGTAAGTTTCAGTTACAGTCTTACATAGACCGTGGTTTTAGTCAAACTCATTTGAATTTCCCACGCTCGGAGGCAAATTGCCGGGTAAGATGGCGGCGTCCATTTGGGGACGCTTTTGAGACTTAAGAACAAAAGCGATCGGCAATCCAGATATATAGATCAGTAGTATGAAAAGACGCCTTAATTTTTAACAGACAGTACCTTGGTGGTTTTGTGAAAAAGACCGGGATGACCGTTCTCAGGTCCAAACTTCTCTTTAGTGTGTATGTATACAAATCACCATGGCTACTTCAGTGAGCACGAATCCATCTACGTTGTTGCCTTTAGGTAAAATAATTTGTATATATAAACACTCCTCTTTTTTAAATATCTTTTCTTTTTTTCAAAATTTATATAGTATTTCTCTTAATCTCCCTCAAATGTGTGCATGGATAGTCGATTTACGCATCATTATTTGCATCATTATTTGCAGAACTAGTTGACAAGTGCATTGGTTCTCGAATACATATTATTATGAAAAATGACAAGGAGATTGTAGGAACTCTGCAAGGCTTCGATGATTTTGTCAACATGTTGTTGGAGGATGTGACAGAAAGCGAGGCAACCCCCGAAGGTCGTAGAGTCACAAAACTGGATCAAATTCTTCTCAATGGGAGCAACATTACTATGGTAATTTTTTTATTGACACTATTTAATATTATGTTTAATTTTAAGAGATTTAAGATTAGAGTATTTAAAATCAGAGTAGATACATGAAGCAAAAGAGAAATCAGGTAAGGATTTTTATAACTTATTCATTTATTTTTTCCAGTTGGTACCTGGTGGCGAAATGCCAGATACATAAAACTAATTTTCAACACGTCATACCAAGTGTATCATTCTCAGGGTTTATCCCATAAAGACACAAATGGTAATCTAGCTATGTATCACAAGTAAGATTCCTTATATGCTTAAGAACTTTCTGCATAAATAAATATTAACAATTAATTACAAGAGATCGAGTTTGCTGATTATTTCACTTAGTGCTGGTCTGTCCACGATATTCTGCGACCATGCTGCTTTGAACAGTTCCTTGTATCTTCCACTGAATTCATCGTCGAGACCTTCACTTTTAGGACGCGTTCCTTTTACAGAGATATATATGATAGTGTGGATGTGCAGTCCATGGAAGGGTACCTCCCGAGATAGCATTTGCCAAGCCACGATTCCTAGCGAGTAAATGTCGGCAGCAAATGTAGGTACATCTCCTCTGAGTACTTCTGGTGCTGTGTAACCTGGTGTACCCTGATAGAGAGATACAAGTTTTTCTTTTTTTAAATAAAGATATCCTGTCATTAGGCGAGTATATATATCTTTACAATTATAGAAAATGTTGGAACTATTTTCTCTTCACAACTGCAAATTTGAAGATAAAGAAAATATTCTTTTTTAGTAATAATAAACACATTTAACGAATTGCATACGCGTACTCGTGGCTTGATTGAAATGTGTGGTTCGCCGATCAGTATAGAGCTACCGAAGTCGGTGAGTTTGGCTCGATCATCAGCAGCCATCAGGATATTGGTCGCTTTCACATCCGCGTGTATCACTGCGGAATTGTGACAGAATTGAAGCGCGCGGGCGATGTCCCGCCAAATGGCAACCCGCTTCTCTCTGGACAGAACCGATTCCTGTAGTCTGTCTTGCAACGATGTGCCGCACAACTCCATCGTTATCAGCGATAAGCTGCTACCCTGTTCTATATTCAATATTTTCACGATGTTAGCATGTCGTAAAACAGCTGCGTGTTTCTCCGAGTTTATTACTTCGTTATCATTCCCTTGAATTATTTTGGCTGCTACTTGATCCCCTGAGAGAAAAAGAGACAGAGGGAGGTATAATAGAAGTGTTCAAATTTATATATCGTGCTTTCGATTTTCTCATCTTTTTGTATGTTTTTGAGATCAATAAAGTTTATTGACAAAGATTAAAATACCTTTGTAAAGCGCCTTGTAGACAGTACCGAAAGCACCCGTGCCTAGTACAGAACGATGTTTTCTCGGTAGACCGTCTCTCAATAATCTGATTCTATTCGGGGTATCGATATTAAACGGCGACAACAAATTTTCATTCTTCACGGTTTTTCGAATGTTGGGAGTTTTCGGACTTGATGCTCTACTAAATTATTACTTATGATTATTTGGTTTGATATAATAATAAAGATTTATTCTCACCTAATGTTGGATACATTTTCGAGTGACCGAGGTGACAGATGTTTCAGCGTGGGTATTAATCTTCGCGGCGAAGCCATTTATCCGATTATTGTGTTCATAATAATTTCTATACATGAAATATAGAAATGAAAAATATATCGAGTTTTTTTCATACTACCTGCGTAGAAAATTTAAATTTCCATTATATTACTCATATGAGAAAATAGGATTCGTCCATTAAGCTCTTTGTATACAAATACATCGAAGGACGATAGGTGAAACATCTTTATTATTATGTATATATAGATGGTCTACAGATACACTATAGAGAGCGCGCAGAAGAGATAATTTCGAGTATATGAAATATTTATATCCTCTTTCTACATTATAAAAGAGAGACTTCGATTAAAAAGTAATTATAAGTAACGAAAAATTGGGATGATGTAAATATATCAAACAACAGAATGCAATTAAAATATATATTTTATTCCTTTAGTCGCGCTAAAATTTAAGAGGTAAATCAGCTACTGAGAGCCTATTGCTAATTATTACTTCTCTTTTTTTTTTTTAATACTGTACATTAATTAGATTATTTACAATTGCTCTATCGCTCCGCAACAATTCGCCTTCATTACAACATAATACCATACAGTAACTCATGCAGATGTGTGTATATGTGTTTGCATATACATGTGTTCATCAATACTTACGATGAATGATTAAATGTCACTAATTAGAATCTGCATTACAAACTTGTTTGTTATCAACATTAAAGTGCTCGTCTAAATATAGTCTTGGTTTTCGAGCAGTTCTGCTTGCTATCACAATGATTAAGAGAGTATCAGGGTTTCTCCGTTTTTTCTCTCTCTATCCTACTATTAATTAACAATCAATATATCCCATAATATAAGCGACTTTATAGAGATTTAGTAACATACTCTAAAGAGAATGAAAATACAATTTATCATCTATATATGTATATATATATCTTTTAGAGTTGAAAATAGTTTATTCAATTAACTATAGCCTTCTATTTCTTTCACCAGCCTTATTCCTTATTATAGGCTCCGAACCGCTCAATTATAGCATTATCGATTGTTTAGTCTTGCTGGAAGCACGCACACGCTTCTTTTGAATTTCCAACGTAAAAATGGATTAAAATCATAGTATTTAACGAATAAATATATATTTTACGAATTTATTCATATATTTGATAGGATTCGAGTGCAGCACGTTAGAAATTAAGTCAAATAGAATAAAACACTGCGATTTCAGCCAAGTTGCAGGACTCGTATACTCATTGAAAAATCCGTAAATCTAACGGAAGATCTATTCCACGCAAAGATTTACGGAATTGAAAATCTGAACGTGTAAAATGCGTGTCTGAAGATATAAAAATATATATACATATGTAAGAAATCGCCTATCTTTAAGTAATCTCTCACAGAATGTAAGTACCTGTGCAAGTCAATGAGATATACGAGTTTGCATGTGTATATATGAATGTATACAGTGTCTAATTATTCGTATACGCGCGTGCATAATAAAATATGCAGGTACATATGTCTAAGTACTTGCGAATTTAAAGATAGCGTACATTTATATGTAAATAGGAATCAGAAATCTAAATTGATTTAAGAATGTGCGAATGTGGAAAAGTTTGCGGAAATGATGGGATTAATCGGATTATAAAGATTTAAGATATTAAAATATGAATTTTCATTGATTATAAATCGTGGAATCGAAGATCGACAGAATCTCGTATTTGCAAAACCGCGAATTAATAGAATTGGAAATTTTCAATTCTAGATTCATTAATGAAGGATGTGCATTCGCACTGCGAAGCAATTGTGAATATAAGAAGTGAAGAAATGTAAGAGGAAATCTTGGAAAATTTTATGTATCGCGGAGTCTAAGAATCTGAGATATTAAGAATTGTAAATTGTACGATGCAGAAAAATCCGTAAATCTAATTCTGAAAGATCAAAGAAATATATCTATGGAAGAGAAAGAGGAAGGAAAGATGTTCGTAAGAATTATGATTATTTTTCGGCGATCACACCACCTAGCCAAACTGTTATTCCCGTAACGCTTTTCAATTTGGCACTATTTCTACGTGCCATTACATTAACTTTTCCTGAGCTTTGTATCGTCGGACGATCAAACTTGAGGCACTCAGAGGCTTTCCATTTAATTTCAAGAACATAAGCATATCCAAGCATTCATTAGGCATATATGCGCGAATAATTTAATCGCTTTAAAATATACTATAATGTAATGAAACGATTTACACAGCTTTGCGATAAAAGAAAAACTGCATAAATATAGACGGAATCAAAGCAGTTATCAAAGAATATAATGGAATATTCGTGTATCTAGAAATTTGGAAAATTGTGGAATAAAAATACTATACGCTTTGAAATTGAAATTGTAAAATAAGGATTTGTAATAAAAGTTTAAAGATTCGCGATGTTATGTGCGCGAACAAGAATTTATTAGAAGCCTATAGAATGTTAGTTTTATGCATAATTAAAAATATATGAGAGACTAAAAATCTGCGGAAGCAAGCATCTTCAAAAATGAAGAAAGTAGAATAGAAACAAGAATCTGTGGAAAGATTTGTGCAACTGAGAAACCATAAAAAGAAAATCCGATAATCTCTGACAATTGTCGATACTCTCAACGCTATCATTTATCTAAAATACATTGGATATCACTTTTCAGTTTCCTATCAGTAAACCCAACATTAGAACATTATACATCTCAATCTGATGAAAATAGAACTCTGTACTCTCTGACTGGCACTAGACGCTTTAGGAGACCCTGATGTATGAGGCAGGTATACCAGTAAATAGTTTTGAAAAGATAGACGAATTTAGAGAAAGTGTATGAGAGAAAAAGTCGATTAAGGCACAGTCTAACCAGGTAACGGAGCCTCCTCATAAAAGTCGAGCTCGTCTTCGACCTCGTGTTCGGGTCCTTTGCCGTCAAGGGCGCGCAATTCCGCCGTGGTAAAGAAGTGGCTCATTTGAGCGCGCAGCGGCATCATCAGGATGAGGAAGAAGGGTAGAGCCAAGGCAGCCCTTGTACTTTTGACTATCCACAGCACGACTAGGCACAGGATCTGTATAAGGGTGAAGACGTGCATCTTGTAAGTTTGCACGCGCCGCACGTAGTTTGCTGTGCCGTGGTGCTTGACTGGCATGAAAAACAGTTTGATACGGTCGAACAACTGCACGCCGTTCGTTGACGAGATGCCCATGTAGAGGAATACACCCAGCAGGACGGACATCGGCACTCGGCGTAATAGCGGCGCCATCAGCACGCTTACGCCTATCAGTATTGCGACCAGAAGGGCGCTTACTCGCTGTTCCTTCACCTCGACGATGTGCGGCTTATCGCCGGGCGCGTGGGTACGCGACATCACAGTCACGGCGGATACATGAGTGAGGGAGCGCACCGACGCGGCGCAGCACCAGGGCGCGCCCATTAGACCGCATCCCACATTCATCAGGCAAACTACCACAATATCCATATGATAGCCGTTACCCTTACGTAGCTTGCGTTCCTTCTTATCGATGATCAATCTGCGAACCGGATATGATATAATTAATTAGTTGAAAGTAAGTACAGCTGATAGCTGGGAGCTCGTGCAACTTAAATTTACTTACTCCGATATTTGAGTCTCCATAAATACTAGGATATAAACCAGTAAAGCTGGCACCACGCAAGCAAGAGTCATCCAAAGAGGAATAGGTTTTTCAAAGCCAGTTGGAGAAACGAACCAACTTCTACCAGGTATGGTCGGAGTGAGACCTTCGGGGACCAGCAACTTCTCTGTCTTTACCATAGTCAGATAGTCGATTAGGACGAAAACAATGATACTGATAGGCACGCCGAAGTCTCCGAAGGCTCGTCGGGCGCTACGACCCAAGTAATGGCTGTTGCGAAAGATTCTTAAGTAGTAGGCACCCAGGAAGGTACCGAGGCAAAGGATAGTACACATCAAAGCCGTGTTGGGTTGATTGATCAATCCGGCGGCGTCGTGACTTGGTATCAATTCGCGGGGGTTCTCCAAGTACAGGTTCTCCTCCTCGGTCTTATTCCACGGTGAATTAGTTACCTTCATTCCAACGACATAGAGCGGATAGATGGTGTTGTTGGCCGGTCCAAAGCTGTACTCATGGAGGAGTGGATTACGCATGAAGTAGTTGTAGAGCTTAATAAACGTCTCGACGATATAGAGGATGGAGATCAATCCGGTGAAAATCTCTTCGGTGAAACGTGTGAAGAGTCGCACAAGGACCGAACCTTCGACACAAGCAATTGCCAGGGCGATAAAACCCATCCAGATGCCAACGTATACCCGTACAGTAAGGAACTCGAGGTCATTCGCCAGGCAAAAGTTGTACAGGCTCTCGTCGAAAAGCAACAGTGGACCGGTCGTGCCGATAATCACCAACGGTTGAGTTGCAAACAAAGCCATCACCACGCCTGTCCACGAGCCGGAAACCAAGGTTTCAGAAATGCCGATCACATTCTGCGTCTTATCGCTCATTAAACCGCCGAAAGTAATAGCGGTGCACAACGCGGCGAAATACATAAAGATGGCCGCTGCGAGACAGGAGGAGTTCAGCCCGTCTGTAAAGTCGGACAAGTAAAAAGGATAGCGACGCTTGATGTCGTTGATGAGGCCACCAAACAGTCGTCGAGTGCGTCGCAGTGGATCATCTTCCGACAGCTTCTTTTCTTCTTCGGCAGCTAGAAGAGCTATTCATTGAACAGGAGTGATTAGTTTCATAAAAACATAGTAAAGAAGATGAGATAAATTTAAAGGATTGGAAAAAAAATATTCGAATCAATCATCAAGACACGAATTTTAAAAGACTTTGAAGAAATTACCTTTCTTTATGGCTGCCTCGCTTTGCACTGGCTTACTCTTCTCCTCCAGCGCTTTCGCCTTCCTCTTTCTGATAGCCTCGCTTTTCGCCTTGAGCTCATTGAATGGCAACAAGGCCTGTCTCTCCCAATCACCGGGCGGTAGTACGATCGAATCATCCAAAAACTCGTTGATAGCTGATAACAACTCTCGTTTTTCGTTTGCCTTATAAGCAACCTTATGAAATGATGTGTTCGCCATTAGCGTGGAGATGGACCGACCGATCTCGTGGTAGTCCAGGTCCCCATTTCTTGGCCCCAGCAAAGTGAACATAAATCTGACCGGTATTGTAACTTCCGTAATGGACGGCATCAGCACGCCCTCGGCCAATCGCACGAAGGCTATTGTTGGTTGGTCCAAAAAGTCGACGGCGCCGACAAGAACAACTGTCGCCTCCGCACCAGCTGGGATCCTCTTCAGAATATACTCATTGTGACTCTTCTTTAGGTCTTCGTTGCTACTCATGTATGTTAGCTCCTCCTTTATATCGATCGCGGTGTGATGATTACTGTCGAGCGCCAGATTCGATGATATGATCTTCGGCTTCGCGTCGTGCAGATTCTGTCGGATATTTCAAAACTTTTTAGAAAGCTATCTGAGAACTCTTTGATTTCATCGAAGAAAGACTATATAGATTTTTTGTGAGAAAAGTCTATATGTCGTTTGCTTCAATACCTTGAAATTAGAATAACACCTGTATCATTAAGTAGTTGGATATCAAGTAAAAGAATAAATAAGGCGATAAGTGAAAGTTATACTCTCTATTAATTAATATAAAAATCGGTAAATATCTATAAAAAATAATACCTCATCGATCATCTTCATTTTGAGATATGTTTTGCATGGTATAAATAGTAATTCTTTTATTTATATGCAAATACAACTTGCTTCTTCACCAAATTATGAAATGTGTAGAATTTTCTGAACATTATAATGATACCTGTTCATCTAATTTCATAATATTGTCTAATAACTTATGGAAAAAAAATATTCAAAAATAATATAACAATGATAAATTTCCTACAAAAAGGAATAACAAGCTGAGATTGAGATTTTTTAACAGTTTAGAATCAAAAAAATATACTATAACAAAAAGAACATGTTTGCTTTCTAGCATTTCATGATGCGTAGAGAGAAGTAGACAAACTATCTTACAGTAAGAAAACACGCTGTTAGAAATACTTATTTCAAACTAAAAACTGAAAAAACTCTTATCGCCACATAGAGTACTCGTGAGTATAAATTAATACACGAAAGTAAAATAATACATACACGAAGATACGGTTCAACTTTTTTGAGAAATTGATCTCCAAAATTACAATGCATAAAATAGTTCGTAAGAACTATTCAATGCCGGGGGAAAATTCGTCATATCTTCGTGATTTGCTTTAATACAGAAAATTAGGAAGAAAAGAGTATAAATAAATTATATAAAGATAATATAAAGTTTCAAAGCCTATAATGAAGAGAAGCGGGATATATGATTATAAGCATTTTAAGTTATCGTTATTGATCGACGAGACTGGCACTACACGAAAATTTCTAGAATCCAAGTTTTAGGATCGGTACTAAGTAAGCCACTAAGAAGACACCCGCGGACGCAACAATGGAAAAACTGCAAGCTTTAAGAATGAGCTGCGATTTGGTTTATTTAAACAACAAAATAAAATTGTGGCATTTATTTATCAAAATAATTAAAAAAGTTAAAAATTTGAATCAATATAAGTAAATTTTTTGTCAGTTTTAATCGTACAAAAATTGTTACGAAGATTTAGATTGTGACTGAGATGGATTTTATATGTAGACCGTGTGTCGAAAAGAAACCGAACTTTTTGAATAAAAAAGAACTATTGTTTATTTTGTCAAAAATTACAATATGTTTATTCGAAATGTATTTCTCCTGCATCAATACAACGGTGGGCACGTTGAACTAACGTCACGGCACGGCGATTTATATAGCTTCAACGTCATTGTATACATTCCTTGCATCGTCATTTTCATTCTTGGTAATGGAAAATAGTTATATGGTGACAAATTTGGCGAACGGATACTAGATGATGCATTACTTGTCTACTTTCGATCAAATTTTGACAGATAGTCGAAGGGATATGTATGTTTAAATATAACTCTTTAGATGTTACATGGTGCTTAGCGAAAAAGTTGAAGTTCGGTTTCTTCTCTGACACACTGTGTACACTAATATAAATATTATAACACGTTACCCCAATGACTATCCTAATCAATGTTTTTTATATTGTTATATATCGATTTGTCTATTAAAGCTAATGACAAACTAATGATATATAAACTTGGTGCTATAACATTGTCGAAATAATTGACATATAAAATATACAGAAAACGTATTAAATCAAATTAAAATCGAAAGTATTAATAAAAAGATTAATCCAACAAATCGTTGTTTTGTATTGTGTACACATACAATTATGCTTTTAGAAAAGAATTTTTAAAAATCTATAAGTGTACACACTCGATTTGTCCCGCAAACTCATGCCGGGTTTACTTTAACAAATAGGAAAATATTTGTATGAAAAGAGCGGGGGCGAATAGGATGAAGGACTATAGAGTAATAAGAAGAATAAAAAAAAGACTGCGTTTGTGTGATTCTCGGGAAACGAGAGATTTACATGTTGGGTTACATGGTTCTCAGCGGCTTCCCGCGCAGCATCTTCTTCCTCCAGCCAGATGGACTGTGGAAATAACATTAGCACACTATCAGTCAAGCCTATCTTTTGTCACCGCCCGCTGTGACTACTCACTACTGACCGCGCAACACATTGTCCTCGCAGGGGGGTCTTCGATATTTCCGTAGACCGCGCAAAAAATAAACGTGCAAAATTCATTTTTCTTTCTAAATTTCAACGCGCAACTATGCAGCAAAATGCATTTCGGCATCCATTACAGTCGTCGCGATTATCTGTCGATTTTTCGATTACGGAATTAGAAACGTGCAAATCCAGGATTGCATCAGCCTGGAATAGCAAAAATTGAGCTGGAACTCTCGTCAAATCTAATTTATATTTGCGACCCTAAAGCCTGTAAATACGGTTATTACCTAGTTGAGTAATTGATTATCACGATTCCCTCATTTTTTATATCGATACTTATTCACTTTCTAATACAAGCAATTACGAAGCGAGTCTTGCGATTAATCGAGATTAATCGGAATCGCTTTCGCGCGCACGATAAACGTACACGGCGAGCGTTGGCGTTAAAGCCTGAATTACCTGAAGACTAGTGTAACTGGAGTAACTCCTCTTGCCGCCGAATCGGAAACCGCGTTCATGTTCATGCACGTGTCTATGCCTAAGCAACAGCGCTCTCATTACGACTGGTCTGTCCTCGGCCAGGATCAATTCCTCGACGACCATCTGCTCGACTACTCTGTAGGCCAGTCCGGGCAAGTCCTTTTCTTCCAGATCGAGAAGGACTACGCCGGTCTCTAGGCAACGGCGGAGATTCAGCAACGAGTGAAAACTGAGAGAGGCCACGTGAGGTCTGCCCCATCTGTCGGCACCCTCCTCGACGTCTTCCTCGTATTTGATCCACCTGGCAGTCTCCCGCCACTCACGTTCCTCGCCCAAGCCATGCAACTCGTCCAGTTGGACGAACACCTCGTGCGGCGAGTGATCGTACATCTTTTTAAAAGTATCGAGAGGGATACCGCCCTCCTTGCGTCGACCAATCTGCACCATATGGGCGGCTTTATGCCGACGCATACCGCGCGGATCATCGCTACGATGCGATTCCAAGTCATCGATGTCAAGCTCTTGCAAAGTGCTCGCCTCCTCTGGCTGGACGCTGACGCGTCGAGTCAGTAAACTCGATATGTCTGACAAACCGGCGCCTGATCGTTTCCGCCATTGCGGATCCTCCTGCAGGGAATACTTGCGAGACTTGTGGTGATGACGTCTGGAAGAAGTTAGTTGGTCAGTCCAGTATTTTTGTAGAAGAATACACACATACACACACTTGAATTTTTATGAAGAAAAGAAACCTCTCAGATATTTTTGGTCACAACAGAAAGAGAAGAAGAATATCAAATATCGGCAAAATTTACCAATCTTATTATGATAATAATAGCGATAGTGGCATGTATTTATACATATAATACGGCTTTTTGATTGGCTTATCTTCTTGTAGTGTATATTAACTCCAATTTATTTCGTGCCACAGGTAAATTATAAAGTTCTCATTGGTGCGGAAAGATTTCTTATCTATGGAAATAATCAAAAAGAGTCCCTGGTCCTATCTAAATTAAACGCCGAAGTACATTTTTTCAGTACAAACTCTGTGAATCTTTAACCAACTATCCGCTCGGTACCATTCCGTACCGAAATTGTTGCGCCACGAATCTAGCTCGTTGCTCGGGATGGCACGAAAAAAGATCGACCGTTTCGTGTTCATAATTGCGCGGTTTATACAGTGCAAATATATGAGTCCAATTGTGACTTGAAATGCGACTGTCAGATATTAATTTTCAGTTAAATATCGAGGACAATCCGGCTTTTTGCGCACGTAATATCTGCAGACACGGTATATTATATAAATTGGAGTTATATATTTTTACCTGCGTACTTTATCATCATTTTTCAAGATATTACTTTACTATTATTAGATTGCAAAGACACTATTATTTGGCGTTAACAAGTACACTAATTCAAGATCACGATTTTTTCTTCTTTACTTTTTTTCTTCTTTTTTTTCTCTTCACAAATCACCATTTCGAATCAACTTACTTATGTTCGTGTTTTTGATGCCGTCGGCACTTTCGGTCTTCCTCGTGGACGCCGCTCGAAGCAGCATCCGTCGGTACTTCTGGCGTTTGTGCGCTTGGTCCATCTTCTTCCTTGATTTTCTCGAATTGTACTCTCGGGCTACCGACGGTCGGGCTGTCGCTGAAACCGGAAGCTGCCCTTTCTGAGATTGGTGCCTCGCTCTCGCTACTGTTTATGTTTTCGATTTCCTCCGCTGTTTCTTCATCGATCTCGACCTCGGCTTCGGATGCGACGGCTAATTGCAATCCGTTATGATTCGTCTCATCCACCTCCTGGACTTCATTATTACTCTTCGCCTGGACATTGTTTTGATCTTTCTCGGATACTTCCGATCCTTCCCTAAGAATGATTGAGGAAACATAAAATCTATCTTCTTTGGTGTCAATATTCGGCGAAAAAGTTCCCGCGTGCATTCAATTGAATTTTGGCCGCTAAACTCGAGAAATGTAATAAAATCACATCTTAGAACTTAAAGAAGCATTATAAGAATTCCTATTATAATCCGTCCTTTCAAACCGGCAACGTCAGAAGATATTTTGGACAGTCTCGAAAAGGGATAGATCTTGTCGAATGTCTGTTTTTATTTGGAGCTATGTAACTTACGGTGAAAAATGCCGTCGCATAGATCTGGAATGCAAGCTTTTCAGGGGCATGTGCGGATGGGGATAACTTCTTTTTCGGTGTTCTGTAAAAAAAAAATCGATTTTTTACTCCAATGAAAGACGATTCCAGAGATAATAAAAAGTAGAAGGAAAATACAAAAAATGGAAAAGAGACACAACTTACGATTGAAATCGCGATCGCCATATCGCGGTGGTCCGCGATCTCGATCTCGATCTCGATCGGATCCAGTCGATTCCGAGGGCGAGCCGAGCCGGGCTACGTCGAATTTCTCTGCGGCGTCCATCGCGAAAACCTTTTCCATCTCCTCGTCGAGCTCCGGTCCCATCTCCGCGCCATGCCCATCGATCTAGCGATGTCAAACACAGGTATAAATTGACATTTGTCGCAACCATCGTTTTAAATTGTTTTAATGATTACGCTGCAGGAACAATGCCCTCAATGTCGCGCGGATGTCTTTGACAAGATATTAATCAAACTTTTCGTAAAGAAAGTCTTCGAAACGCGTAAATATATCGCTTTCTTATTCTTGTCGCACATTTTATGCTGCAATAAAATCGCGCTATCACGATTCTGTAAAAAAGAAAAAAATATTTATAGCGTGTTCACTCATTGCACAAAAAGATTTCTGATGTTCCTTCGGGATTAATATTGTACGAGCGAAGAGAGAGAGCTTTATATCTTGTTCCATACGTGACCTGTTACCTATTACATGTTACATAAAGTCGTCTGATGTATGACGTCCCTTGACGTAATGAAATACTCGTTAAATAGATCGTTTATCGAAAAAGCACTGTATATTCGTTACAAATTTATACATTTATAAAAAGAGATTGATGAAAACAATCTCTTTCCTTTGCTAGATTTTGAAATGTTCCTTCAAGAGGAGGGATTCTACTTGTGCGACATCCTACACGAGAGGCAACTAAGCGCATTTAATAGCTATTTCACTTATGCAATGTAGGAAGAATTGATATAGGTATCTTTGAGAATAACTGCTACGTTATATTTTGGGCAGATATATTATCGACCTATTCTGGGAGAATTGTAGACAATGTCGTCGAATGATATAGCGATGTAATGTTTTAAGTACCTACGTTATGCATTCTGACTCTTCACATCCCACATGCATATGTAGATGATATTAACGATATATGCGAGAAATAGATGTTTCAGGAACGGGCATTTCAAGAATTAGAATTGCAATTGACTCATAATTTCGTTCGTCCCGCTTTGAGATCCGTATTTATAAATTATTTTTCCATCATTGGTAATCTAAAGATAGACTACGTTCATTTCATGCGATTAATTTACTATACGCCACTCAAGTGCAATTTATTATCAATTTTGTTGCAAAACGGAAATTCACTTTTTGAAATTCATTCTTTCGATCGGTGTTTCACTTTCTCATTCAAGTTTAAAAATACATCTCCGGCATATCTGCCCGGGTCAAGCGCATAACGCTTGTTCACAATAGCCAAAGAGTTATTGTGAGAGAATCGATCTCGTACTTCGTTATACATATTATCAGAAAACTGGCTTTGTATCGTAGCTGATCTGCAATGTCGCAGTCAGAGATATATTTGCTCTTTCTTTCGACAAAACTCGATTTGTAGAATTGTTTTACCGTAAGAAATTAAGCCGATGCTCGATACAAATTTCAGCTTTGAATGAAAAAACAATTTTTTTCCATCAATTGTTTTAAGGGGGCATATCCATTTGAACCTTACGAAAAATGAGTACATTTTCTAGATTTTTTTGCAGCGCAACGATTTGATAAAAACTTTTTAAAAATATTCCAATAACTCTAAAAAAAAATGTCTTTTTAAACTGAAAATTTTTATTTAAGTTAATAATATTGTATTAATATCGTAAAAAAATTAGAAATTTATATCAAATGGTTGCGCTGCAAAAAAATCTAGAAAATGTACTCATTTTT